CACAACACACACACACACAAGGAATAGGACAGGGCTCTGGCTGATGATGCATGAATCCCGACTGCAGCCAGCCTCCTCCTCTAGCCTCACTGGGCTAATCTGAGGCTACTGCCCTCTGCTGCTTCACTGAGCACGCTCCTTGGGTACAACACGCCACACAGCCCGGGAGTCGCTCGCAGCCTCGGTGCTGCTAGTCCCTTCTCTCTCGGGCCGGGCCGGGTATACCCTAGCTCTCTTGCCTCTCTCTTCTTAATTGATCAGTCTATCTATGTGGCAGGGGATTCAGCAGGACCCCGGGAGATGGGAGACCTACGGAGATGTCACGTCAAAGGAATATTGTGTGTTCCAAACGGTGATCGTGAGGATGGGAGTTGCGAGTGCAAATATCATTCGCTGAGTGAGGGTGGGGTACAAGGTGGATAATGGTTATTTAAAGTGTTGAATAGGGTTTATACTTTGATTTCGGTAATAGTATCTTCCATAATGGGCTCTCATTATTTATTTGGATTCCGAGCAGTTCAAACTTATATAGGATGATCAACCAGTTAACATATGACATAAACATTTGTGTCTAAAAGATCTAGACATTATTGGTTTTAAGTATTTAGGTACGACTGTCCAAAAAGTATCATGTCCATAGAAGACTCTTGTGAAAATGATTATGTTATCTGAAGAATCTTACTGCAAATGAGAGTTTGAGACTGTACTGTATATAGATATGCCTACTTATAGTTATCAGCACATCCAGTTATTTCCTTGAGCTGACTGGAGCTTATTTGTCATAATAAGTATCATATGATGCACCATCAGGAAGACAAACCCACCTGCAGGAGTTAACTTTGATGAATACTCCTCAACCAATTCTATAGCATATCATAGGTACAGTCAAGGACTAACGTAGTACATTCAAAGAACGTCTCATTTAATAGGTTATTCTATATATTTCTAATGGCCAGTTTCCATGTCACCGTGTCGCTGAACTTTCCCCAGCATAGACAAATATATATATTAGCAGAACCCGATTTGTTTTTTTGTGGAAATTAAACTGTAGGATCGTTTGATGCAAATCGTGAGTTTGTCAAGCAAAGCAGACTGGCGCCTTCTTCCACAAACGATAGATCAGAGATTATGGGTAAGTATGGTGTCTTCGCTATCCAAACTAATAAAAAATATTTGTTTCTCAAGAACTCAAGGGGAAAACACAAAGCATTGTTACATGCGATTAAACAATCAATGTTGTGTAAAAGGACAAAACTGGGTCTTTTAGTGATGAGTAGAGCAGATATCACTGTGAAATCATCGACATGTGACGGACACATACTGCCTTCGGAGTGATAAATTAATACAAGATAAATAATCACATATGAGATAGACCTAGGTTTTATGATGTAGGCAGGACTAAAAAGATAGAATATAGAAAAAAAGGACCAGTGAGAGCTGCGTCTTAACAACCACCTTATATAGTAACGCTGAGACCAAGAAAAAGAAAGGAAATATATGTTTATACAGGCAAGATGAGAGGTAATGAGATAATTTGCATCGGACGCTGCGTACCCAATAGAAATGAATAGGGAAAGAAAGCCGTAGACAATCTCACAAATATTTAGGGGTTGTGCCGCAGAGCAAATCTCTATAGTTGACATACGAAGTTTTACACGTTCTCCTGTGCAGAGAGTTCAGACCTTCTGAATTGTCACAATATGAAGTTTCTTTTTGGTGAATATACTACATTTTGTCCTGTGGATCCAACGTATTACATGTTTTTTTCTCCACAGACAATGTGCTTTTATGGATGGTCTGGACAATCCTCGACAGGAAGTTTTAAATCTATTCTTTTGATTAGTTTCAAACACCACATTATTTTGTCATCCATAACAAAGGGTTCAAGAAAAGCGTTTTACATAGTTATAAGCATATTAGGCTATATCTCTTAACAAAATCCACTTAGTATTTAATTTGTTTTGCCAGTTTGATGCCTGATTTTATCATGAACCACTCGAGTAATCTTTGCATTTATAATTTATTTTACCTATTTATTATGTTATCTCCAGGTTTTAAAGATACTTTTCGACCCAGACAGAGGAGGAGTTCATATGTTCTTCATGGAGAGAATGACTGCAACTGTAGTTTGCCAGTAGCAAGTAATGATTCTGGCAGTGTTGTGATGCTTCAGGTCTGCAGTGAATATCAGATCCAAAGTGTTGGCCCCTAGTGGCTCCCAGCAGGTCTCTCAGGGGCCCTTCAGCTATGCCGACGCTATCACAACAACCACAACACTTGGCACAGTAATCATATGCGTGTCTGGTAGTGCGTCACAGGTCACCTGCGCATATACTAGTGTTCAGTTGTAATGTGTTGATAAACTAGAAATAAGGCTGCCAAAGCCCCAGAGGCCCTGAAGGCTACGCTCGCTGTCTCTCACACACATATAATGGCCAGTCGTTCAACATATTATTCAGATCTAGTGGACTCAATTACATTGTTAACGGATCTCAGGTCCAACAGCGCGTAGCAATTTCACTGTTAGGCTACACAACTAGTGATGAGGTTGGTAGAACATACTAATTGAAGGAAGAGGAATAAGATCATACATACAAAATCACGACACGTCAAAATTCAACCCTCATGCGGTAAACAGTGAACCACACCGTTCGAACCGTATATCAACATCATTTCATGGTGGGAAAACCACTAATTATGGAACTAATAATGTATTAGCTAGAGAGAACCGCCGCTGACCGCTCATAATACCAAGACCCGCTCCTACACCCATCCCCTCAAATATTTACATCTCATCAAGTAGATTCCTAGCTTACTTACCTTCTCAGGGATGATGCACGTCAGGACTATGAGAGAACAAGTGAGCTGACAGTTGAAGTCCGCGAGCTCCGCTTTCTGCACACAAAAATCGCACTCATCTCGCATATATTAATCTGAGATGAGAGCGTCCAGGACCCTCTCTGCTGCGCTCAGACTAAATCCGCTCGCAGGTATCAGATCCCCCAGACTCACAGTTAAACATGTCCGACCGTTCATCCCTCTGATCACTTCTGACTACTACCCTTGCGTGTTGCCTTAGACTTTGCCATGGAGTTATTGGCACCTCTGCCCACTTATTCTCTTCGTACAGGCACTGTCCAGCCTGCGCAGTGGACTACCCACCCGTCTCAAATTAATTTCCTTCTCACCCTGACCACAACCAAATATCTCATGTTGCCAGGAGTGATACCAACTTCATACACTACTTCCTGTTTCAGTATTCAGTCATATGTGTGTCGCTGCTTGAATGTGTGATGTGTCGGCCTGTGCAGTGCGTGCGTGCGTGCGTCGTGCGCGTCGGCGTGCGTGCGCATAGCGTGCCGTGCGGTGCGTCCGTCCGTGCCTGTGTGATCAGTGTCTTCTTGTTGATCCCCCTGACATTCTCCATCCTCTCCTGAGGGAAAAAAACAGGAAAAGGGGTGTTGGGTCAGTATCATTCAGTGTGTTCTTATTAAAAGATGACAGGTTTGCAATGGCGACTGTGAACCTCCACTGGTCCCAAGTTATATGCTCTTTAATTGGTCAAATGGGCCTGAGAGAAGAGATTGAGATCCATCTTCAGCGGACACTTGGACACCCGTCTCTTTAACACTACTTTTCTTCTTCTCTTTCGTGTAACGTCAGAGGCCAACTCAGTATTGTTAGCCATAGCCGCATCTCTGGTCCCTACGTCGGAGAAGAGAGCTGGCTTCCGAGAGTGGTCCTAATAATAAAAGGGCAGGTGGTTATTAATATGTTTCCGGCAGTCTGTTCAGGGGTCACCGCACTTGCCATGCAGCACTGTCGCCAGGCCCCACCTTCTTCATATTGATGTTTTGAGTGACCCGACCCCAGTTGG